TTTTTCTCCCATAGTACCCCGGGCCCCCTCTTTGTGATCCGTACTGGGGCGGGGAGGGGCGACCTGCTCTAAACCCGTGTTGCCCTTTTTTTGGTAACTGAAAGGGTTTTTAGGTTTGGGCGGCGAACTTAGAACCCTCTCAAGATTTTTACGATATGGGATTTAGTGCATCGGTTTTGCGTTCTTTGCCCAAATTTCTTTTAAAGGGCCCCCTTTGTGGAGTGGGGGTGTGTCTGTTGTTTTTTTGTGGTGGGGATGACCCCTGTGTCCCTGCTCCCTCTTTTCCCGAATGCTGAAGGCACGAGTCATGGGTTTTTTGCAGTTCTTGATTTTAAGATTTTTTTAAGTGGGCCCCAAATTTTTTAGTCTTTTCAAAAAATATTCTGGTTTTAAAGGGTCACCCAAACCCCGATTTGTTTTTGGAACTTTAGGACTCACTCATTTCTTTGGGTTTTCATCTGTGTTTTGTCCCATCTTGTCGGTTTGGGGTTTCCAAAACTCTTTCAAGAATTCAAAAATTGCAAGGCTCTCAAGACCTAAAAGACTCTAAAGGGCACTAAAAAGACACAACAAGACAAACAAGACACTACAAGCGCTAGAAAGGGAATTTCAAGGGGAAAGCTGCAAGACATTACAACACTTTCAAGACATTACAAAATTTTACAAAGCTCTACAAACTCTACAAGACAAATTCAAGACTCTATTTAAACACTACAAAAACTCTAAAGCAAATGCAAGCCCTTTCAAGACTCTAAAAAAGGGCTCTTAAAGAAACACTAAAATTTCCCCACATAAAAACTCAAAAGCACCAGTCTTTTCCCCAACAAAAGATCCAATCTTCCATCATTTGCAGTTCAGTTGTATGTTATGTGCAAACTCCTATGTATGGGGAAAAGACAGTGCTCTGTTAGTGTCGGGTTTAAAGATCCACGAGATTTAGCTAATGTTTTAACACTGGAACTGGAGTCCTGCAGCAAATGGTTAGTAACAAACTATCTTTACACCTCGGAAAAAATGGAAGTCTAACCCTTCGGCCACGAAACAAACGAAAAGGGTTTAAATAATTTTAATGTCCAGTGTAATGGGGAGCCCACCACTTCATTTCCTCAGTAAAATATCTGGGAATTCCCTTTGACCCATGCATGTCAGGAGAACTGATAGGGAACAGTGTGGTAAAGAAAGCAAATACCAGACTGAAGTTCCTCTACCGACAAGCAGTGTCTGAGGCTCGCACGACCCTATGTCTAGCACTAATACAGTGTCATATGGACTACGCTTGCTCTTCATGGACCTGGTCCAAGAGAACATGTAGGCCAGGATGAATTACAACTGGATATGCTGAACGTTGAAGACAGAGTAAAACAACTGAAGTCAAATCAAGTTTATAAAATTGTTCACACTGTCCAGAATATCTTGCTGCCAATTTTTTTCAAGGTTGGGGGAAACCCAAAACAATCATAGTACGAGGGGGAGGGGACACAAAATTTGTAGTAGCCACAGTCATTGGCCAGGCTTCAAGCATCTTTCATTGTACAGCAATAAAGGAATGGAACAGACTACCCGCACATGTCAAAGCCAGTCATAGCATGAACCAGTTCAAGAAGAGTGCCAAAAGGTGTCTGATGAATGTAGCTACAGAAAGGGACTAGAATTATTTTTTATTTTTTTTTAGCTAACACACATTAAATGTAAATAACTCATTTTACCTTAATTATAGTATATATCCTTTGTAGTATATATCCTTTATAAGATATTATCTCCTCATACTATAATAATATGGTATTAAAACGACCCCAATGGAAATAAGTCACTGTGTCTGACTTGTTTTGGGTTATCCCAGGTTCTCTACACATATGTTGCTATGTATGATAATCTATGTAACTGTGTTTGTGTATACCTGAATAAACTTACTCACTTACTAGTCTTCCATCACTCACAGCTCCAGTCTCCCATCATCCACAGTTCCAGTCTTCCATCACTCACAGTTCCAGTCTTCCATCACTCACAGTTCCAGTCTTCCATCACTCACAGTTCCAGTCTTCCATCACTCACAGTTCCAGTCTTCCATCACTCGCAGTTCCAGTCTTCCGTCACTCACAGTGTTACAAAAAACGCGATTCTAAAAGCTTAGAGATCTCCAGTGAATACTAGAAAGGACTGCCCTTCTAGCATCCAGCCTGTTACTGGGTTTTCGTAACAAGTAGTCAGTGTCCTTGTCCAATTATCCATTAGAATTCGGTATGATTCAATAGTGCTTCAGGATTACAACTGGTAGGCTACTAACTAGAGAAAATAAAATTTAATAAATGTATTAATTAATTATTAAATTATTAATTATTAAATTAAATTAAATTAAATTAATCACAGTAATCAAAATAATATTAATCACTTCTCTCGTGTACAGTATTATTGTGCTGAAAGCACATATCACATATATATGTCTTAAGTACCATCTGGTACATTAACATTTAATAATACAATATACAAATAAGTTTGTGTGTATGTGTGTAAGTGCTCTAAATAGTTCGCTATGTCTCATGACTCGACTAGACTTAAAGAAGTGACTGACAAAGTCCTCTCATAAACTAAGTTCTTGACCAACTGGCAATCAGAACAGTCTGCTTGAACAATAAAAAGAATGCTAAGCCCAATAGTAATACAACAAGCAACTGCGACACAATCAGGATCAAGGAGATAATATAACGACACTAAGTAGGGACCATCAGCAGATCCTCCACAAAAGTCACAAAACTCCCATACTACTGAATCTAAGTTCAGCATAAGAAAATCCCCGACTGTGACAGTACACAGATACAAGTACAAGTTAGGTCAGAAGCTACAGCTCAGGACCTGAGTTGCTCAGAGTGTCTATGCGACACACAACCTCTGTACAACATCGAAAATCACTAAATCTATACAATGTTCTGTGATCAGTCTCCAGAACTAACAACAATAATAATGAGACAGAGACGATCTTCCAACAAGGGCCAATAAGGGAGATTTAGGCACTTCTTGTCTAGAATACATCCAACCACCAAGAGAGTCTAGACCAGACTGAATACTTCAGGCGAGGTGTGAACACCCCCCCCCCCCTCTATCACGTGATAGCTCCGTGGGCAGCTGCTGCCCAGCAACAACGAGAAGCCGGCAGAGTAACGCGCCACAAGCGATAATTACAGTAGTTAGACAATCAAGACTTGAACTATGAGCACATAATAATATGTTACATCCTACCTAACAACATAACTAAGTCAAATAATAATGTAAAGCAATATATTCACGATTTAGCTATTATCGCAAATATAAGCAATATAAAATTACATGAAAAGGTAATATACATTATATAATATACATCATATATATTGTAACCCATTCAGGGGTTGCAACACACAGTTCCAGTCTTCCAGCACTCACAGTTCCAGTCTTCCATCACTCACAGTTCCAGTCTTCCAACACTCACAGTTCCAGTCTTCCAGCACTCACAGTTCCAGTCTTCCATCACTCACAGTTACAGTCTTCCATCACTCACAGTTCCAGTCTTCCATCACTCACAGGTCCAGTCTTCCATCACTCACAGTTCCAGTCTTCCATCACTCACAGTTCCAGTCTTCCAGCACTCACAGTTCCAGTCTCCCATCATCCACAGTTCCAGTCTTCCATCACTCGCAGTTCCAGTCTTCCATCACTCACAGTTCCAATCTTACAGCACTCACAGTTCCAGTCTTCCATCACTCACAGTTCCAGTCTTCCATCACTCACAGTTCCAGTCTTCCATCACTCACAGTTCCAGTCTTCCATCACTCACAGTTCCAGTCTTCCAGCACTCACAGTTCCAGTCTTCCAGCACTCACAGTTTCCAGTCTTCCAGCACTCACACAGTTCCAGTCTTCCAGCACTCACAGTTCCAGTCTTCCAGCACTCACAGTTCCAGTCTTCCAGCACTCACAGTTCCAGTCTTCCATCACTCACAGTTCCAGTCTTCCATCACTCACAGTTCCAGTCTTCCATCACTCACAGTTCCAGTCTTCCATCACTCACAGTTCCAGTCTTCCATCACTCACAGTTCCAGTCTTCCATCACTCACAGTTCCAGTCTTCCATCACTCACAGTTCCAGTCTTCCAGCACTCACAGTTCCAGTCTTCCAGCACTCACTCCAGGATTAGTAAAACACAGGGAAAGACTCAGAATTATTATTATGCTATGTACAATTATGCACTGTGTATCTGGAGGTATACCTGTGGTATACCTGGAGGTATACCTGTGGTATACCTGGAGGGTATACCAAGACTACTCAAACGTTATACAGAATAATACATTATACACTATTGTATTGATAATTTTCAAAAATTTATTAAGAGAAAAAGTATTTTATTATTTAAATATTTACAATATATATATATATATATATATATATATATATATATATATTATATATATATATATATATATATATATATATATATATATATATATATATATATATATATATATATATAAATATATATATATATATATATATATATATGTCGTGCCGAATATGTAAAACTGATCAATTAGCAAGAACTCATTTAAAATTAAGTCCTTTCTGAAATTTTCTCTTATACGTTTAAAGATATATTTTTTTCATTAATGTTAATGTAAAAAATTTTAATTTTGCTCCAAAAGAATCTTAGAAAACTTACCTAACCTTATTATAACAAGAACAATTTATTTTAGCCTAACCCAACTAGATATATTTTTGATTTGTTTACAATAATTTAATACTAAACAAACACAGTGAAATATATTTTTTTCGTTAGGTTCAGAACGATTTTGGCGAAATTATTGCATACACAAATTTTCACTTGTCCTATATGGCAAGATGAGCGTTGCTATTTAAGCCAAGATCGCAAGTTCTGCCTATTCGGCACGACATATATATATATATATATATATATATATATATATATATATATATATATATATTATATATATATATATATATATATATATTAGTTGAAATGTTAAAAATGCCTTTGAGTCTGATACAAAACTCATAGAAACTGTATTCTTGATTTTTTTAATTGTTTTACACAACAAATAACCCACAATACCGTGGGTGGAACAACTGTTACAGTCATGGTATTGTGGATTAGTTGTGAATTGTTGCAGTAATGGAATTGTGGGTTAGTTGTGAATTTTTGCATCCATGGTATTGTGGGTTAATTGTGAACTGATGCCTTAACAATCTTGCTTCTTACATCAAGTTTAAAAGTGAATGGGAATTCCATTCTTTGCTTCCTTTCCTTAATGTTGACGTCCACCGCTCGCAAGCTTATGCTCAGTGGCATGTACATCCACTACTTTTCTTGCCATGGTCTCTCTATCAAGAAAAGTTATTATTTCTCTTTATCTCTTTGTCCTTTGCATTTGTGACTCTCAGTTCCTTAACTCAGAAATTTCCACTCTTCGTAATTCGTTCTCTCGTTTTGGCCACCTTTCCCATTTCACAAACTCTGGCTTCTCACCGGCTCAACGACTGTCTTCTCTCCCAAACTCTTTACTCCTGTGAAATCTATCCTCTCCCCCCCCCCCCCATATTTCCAGTTTTCCTAATCTCATTAAGTATCTTCGTTCCTGCCACACTAACACCTTTCGCCCTTCTCTCCTCTTTCTCTTTTTGTGTCACTAAACTACTCTTCCTTCTACTGTTACTATTTCTTCTACTACTACTCCCATTATCTCTCTTATCATTACCGCTACTTCCTCTTCTCCCTCTCTTCTTCCCGTCCTTTTCCCCCTCGTCTATATATACTGGCTCCCTCACTCTTTTGTGTTAGTGTGTCTTTGTAAATGGTCCAAATCGGACCGAAACGTCGTCGTAAGCTCCTCTCTCCTATGTGCGGGTGTAGTCATGGTATTGTGTGTTAGCTGCTAACTGTTCTATTAATGGCATTGTGAGTATAAATCAGGTGAACAGTTGAGATAATTAAAGGTGAGTTTAAGGTCAGAGTATGTGAGCAGGTTCTGGGAGAGGTGAGCACCAACAGAAACCTTTGTTCAGCAAGCAGATGAACTTCCGTGTCATGGCAACATCTTCAGTTGATGTCTGTGTTTAGTAAGGTCGTGGTGGGGTGGTTGGACGTGGTGCGGTCTTTTTTGGGTGGCGTGGGTGGTGCTGTGGGTGGGGTGGGAGGTGCTGTGGGTGGCGTGGGTGGTGCTGTGGGTGGCGCTATGGGCTGTGCAGGCGGGGCTTTAGGCTGCACTGGCGAGGTTTTAGGCTGTGTAGGCTTAGCTGCAGATTGCATAGGATTGGCTACAGGCTGAGTAGAATTGACTACAGGCTGCATAGGATTGGCTACAGACTGAGTAGGATTGGCTACAGGCTGCATAGAATTGGCTACAGGCTGAGTAGGATTGGCTACAGGCTGCATAGACTTGGCTACAGGCTGTGCGGGTGGGTCCACGTCGTGCGTGGGTGTGGTGAGTGGGCGAGCCATGCAGGAGGACACCTCGCGCCCAGAGGTGGTGGACCAGGTGGCAACGACTGAAGAAGTTCGCTTGCGAGGCCGTCGACGGATCTCACCATCCTCCTCATCAAACTGATAAAAAATACAACAATATCATATATAAACACTTACAACAACAATGAATATTTCGTTTATTCATTTTCTAGGCTTCATTTATGCTTTATCAAGCCTAAATGTACAAAGGGAGAGGCCTTTTTACAAAGCAGTTTATACATGTCATTTAATTCTATGTCGACTGTATCGTGACTCATAGTTTATAGAAATAATAATGTGAGTGTCATTGTTGTATAGGGAAGAGGAGTACAAGGTCATTATAACAATGATTTAAGTAGGAGTGTACAATAACATAACACAAGACTTGTACAATGACCTACATAACACTAGACATGTACAATGACCTAAATAACACTAGACATGTACAATGACCTACATAACACTAGACATGTACAATGACCTACATAACACTAGACATGTACAATGACCTACATAACACTAGACATGTACAATGACCTACATAACACTAGACATGTACAATGACCTACTTAACACTGACTGTAAATGACCATAAAACACTAGAATGTACAATGACCTACATAACACTAGACATGTACAATAAACCTACATAACACTAGACATGTACAATGCCTACAAAAAACACTAGCATGTACAATGCCCTTTACATAACACTAGCTGTACAAATGACCTACATAACATAGACATGTAAAATTGACCTACATAACCCCTAGACATGTACAAGACCTACATAACACTAGACATGTACAATGACCTACATAACACTAGCATGTACAATGACCACATAACACTAGACTTGTCAAGACCTACATAACAATGTAGATTCTTTGTTACAATGCCCTACAAAAACCTAGACATGTACAATGACCTACATAACACTAGACATGTACAATGACCTACATAACACTAGACATGTACAATGACCTACATAACACTAGACATGTACAATGACCTACATAACACTAGACATGTACAATGACCTACATAACACTAGACATGTACAATGACCTACATAACACTACACATGTACAATGACCTACATAACACTAGAATGTACAATGACCAAACATAACACTAGACATGTACAATGACCTACATAACACTAGACATGTACAATGACCTACATAACACTACACATGTACAATGACCTACATAACACTACACATGTACAACGACCTACATAACACTAGACATGTACAATGACCTACATAACACTACAAAATGTACAATGACCTACATAACACTAGACATGTACAATGACCTACATACACTAGACATTTTCAATGACCTACATAACACTAGACATGTACAATGCCCCTACATAACACAAGACATGTAAAAAATGACCTACATAACACAAGACTTTGTACAAATGGCCTACATAACACTAGACATGTACAATGACCTACATAACACAAGACATGTACAATGACCTACTTAACACAAGGACATGTACAATGACCTACATAACACTAGCCCATGTACAATGACCTACATAACACTAGACTGTACAATGGCCCTACTAACACAAGACATGTACAATGACCTACATAACACAAGACATGTACAATGACCTACATAACACAAGACATGTACAATGACCTACATAACACAAGACATGTACAATGACCTACATAACACTAGACATGTACAATGACCGACATAACACAAGACATGTACAATGACCTACATAACACAAGACATGTACAAAGACCTACATAACACTAGACATGTACAATGACCTACATAACCAAGACATGTACAATGACCTACAAAACCCACAAGACATGTACAATGATTACATAACACTAGACATGTACAATGACCTACATAACACTAGCATGTACAATGACCTACATAACATAGACTGTACAATGCCCTACATAACACAAAGACTGTACAATGACCTACAAAAACACAGACATGTACAATGACCTACATAACACTAGACATGTACAATGACCTACATAACACAAGACATGTACAATGACCTACATAACACAAGACATGTACAATGACCTACATAAAAAACAAGACAGTACAATGCCCATACTTATCACAAGGACATGTACAATGACTTACATAACAAAAGGGACATGTACAATGACCTACATAACACAAGACATGTACAATGACCTACATAACACAAGACATTTTACAATGACCTACATAACACTACACATGTAAAATGACCTACAAAAACATAGACATGTACAATGACCTACATAACACTAGACATGTACAATGACCTACTTTAACACTAGACATGTACAAATGACCTACATAACACTAGACATGTACAATGACCTACATAAAAACAAGACATGTAAAAATGACCTACATAACACTAGACATGTACAATGACCTACAAAACTAGACATGTACAATGACCACATAAAAACTGACATGTACAATGACCTTACATAACACTAGACATGTAAAAATGACCTACATAACATAGACATGTACAATGCCTAACATAACACAAGACATGTAAAATGACCTACATAACACTAGACATGTACAATGACCTACATAACACTACACATGTACAATGACCTACATAACATAGACTTTGAACAAGGGACCTACATAACACTAGACATGTACAATGACCTACATAAAACAAGACATTTTACAATGACCTACATAACACAAGAATTTGTAAATGACCTACATAACACAAGACATGTACAATGACCTACATAACACAAGACATGTACAATGACCTACATAACACAAGACATGTACAATGACCTACATAACACTAGACATGTACAATGACCTACATAACACTACACATGTACAATGACCTACATAACACTAGACATGTACAATGACCTACATAACACAAGACATGTACAATGACCTACATAACACTAGACATGTACAATGACCTACATAACACTACACATGTACAATGACCTACATAACACTAGACATGTACAATGACCTACATAACACTAGACATGTACAATGACCTACATAACACTACACATGTACAATGACCTACAAACACAAGACATTTTACAATGACCTACATAACACAAGACATGTACAATGACCTACATAACACAAGACATGTACAATGACCTACATAACACAAGACATGTACAATGACCTACATAACACAAGACATGTACAATGACCTACATAACACAAGACATGTACAATGACCTACATAACACAAGACATGTACAATGACCTACATAACACTAGACATGTACAATGACCTACATAACACTAGACATGTACAATGCCCTTTACATAACACTAGACATGAAACAATGACCTACATAACACTAGACATGTACAATGACCTACAAAAACACTACACATGTAAAAATTGACCTACATAACTCTAGACATGTACAATGACTACATAACATTTACACATGTACAATGACCTACATAACACTACACATGTACAATGACCTACATAACACTACACATGTACAATGACCTACATAACACAAGACATGTACAATGACCTACATACACAAGACATTTTACAATGACCTACATAACACAAGACATGTACAATGCCCTACATAACACAAGAATGTACAATGCCCTACATAACACAAGACATGTACAATGACCTACATAACACTAGACATGTACAATGACCTACATAACACTAGACATGTACAATGACCTACATAACACTAGACATGTACAATGACCTACATAACACAAGACATGTACAATGATCTACATAACACTAGACATGTACAATGACCTACATAACACTAGACATGTACAATGACCTACATAACACTAGACATTACAATGCCCTACATAACACAAGAATGTACAATGACCTACATAAACACAAGACATGTACAATGACCTACATAACACAAGACATGTACAATGACCTACATAACACAAGACATGTACAATGACCTACATAACACAAGACATGTACAATGACCTACATAACACTAGACATGTACAATGACCTACATAACACTAGACATGTACAATGACCTACATAACACTAGACATGTACAATGACCTACATAACACTAGACATGTACAATGACCTACATAACACTACACATGTACAATGACCTACATAACACTAGACATGTACAATGACCTACATAACACTAAACATGTACAATGACCTACATAACACTAGACATGTACAATGACCTACATAACACTAGACATGTACAATGACCTACATAACACTAGACATGTACAATGACCTACATAACACTACACATGTACAATGACCTACATAACAGTACACATGTACAATGACCTACATAACACTACACATGTACAATGACCTACATAACACTACACATGTACAATGACTTAACACTAAAAGTGTACAGGGGAAGGTTATAGCATACATTTAGCAATAAAGTTGTACACAGTTTGAGCACATGTATAACGGGTGTTAACCAACGTTTTGAGTTTTTGTGACTTCACAGTTATACATCTGAAATATTACATCTACCTCTGCTTTTAGCAGCTGTCCTGAAAATGCGATTAGTAGAGGCTTCTAGACATTTACACCTATGGTTATCTGTTTAATAATATCCTCGTGTTGCTCCACCTCACGAGATGACCCTGAGAACTACCACGAACCATATGTATTTACAACATTGTATTTTCTCCCAGGAATGTTTTCTAGTACAAGGTTCAGAATTCCTTGAGGTTTTGCGAACATGTGCTTATGGAAACTCTAGAGTGGAATAATGTAAACACAGTATCACTTGAACTTCACTTTACTACACTGATGTCTCCTGCCCTTCATTTGTTCCATGAACAAGCTGTGATAAGCCACAGTGCTGGTGAACTCATTTTTATTATACTCTTGATGCATTATGCCTATTTATTCCACAACAGTTACTGTGAATCATGCTGGTGGGTGATCCCATGACCGTACCATAACGCACTCTTGATGCAACCAAAATTCATTGACACGGACAAGTAAGCCACTCATGTGGTTAATGAGAGTTGGCTTGATTAAGCCACTTAGTGGGCAAAACATTTCCTTCACAAAATTTCCTAGGCAGTACACACACGTTTTGTATATGTTGAACTTTATGCACTAATCAAATCGGCAAACTTTTTTTTTTAGTGTGTAATGTGAGGTAATCAGGTTTAATATGAGGAAGGGGAGGATAGCTCCAGTGCCTTCGATCAAGAGCCCTTCACCACTATTACTCACCTAATTGTGTCTGTGGGGGTCGAGTCGCCTCTCCTGGGCCCCGTTTCTTAATCAGTAACCGGCGTGTGTGATGTTTGCCCAGCATCAATTGCCTGGTGTGCAAGCAAGGTGACCAGACCTACAGGGAGACATCAATGGGCATCAATCAAAGGCTCTTGATTCGAGGAACTTGAGCTATTATCCCTTGGGTAAGAATCTGATTGTGTCGCACTGGTCAGGTGTGAACTTATGCTGGTGAGGGGATCTTGATTCGAGGAATTGGAGCTGGTGGACCCCTTTTCCTTGGATCAAATCTGATTACCTCCCCAGGTGCTGTGTGGCCCCTGTGGGTTTTATGCTTGCCCTTGAACATGGGTCAGGGACATGATATATATCATGAAAAATGTATGAAGAAAGTTCAGAAGACAGTGTAGAAAAAGAAGAATAAGAAGAAAACAAGGAAGAAGAAGAGGAGTCTCACCTCAGTCTGGACAGCAACACCGATCCCACCGCTGCTGCCACCACTGTCACTAACACTCTTCCTTCTTCGTATCTCGGTCAACAGGTCAGTAAACTCATCCTTCAGTTTCTGGACTCTGGTGGCCAGGTCTTGCCTGCTGGTGGGCGACCTCGCTCCACAGCCAAAGACGCTGCCACCGCTGTGACTCCTGCTCAGCAGTGACAGTTCTGATGCCTCACCGCCACTCGAAGCCTCTGAAGAGTTGATTGCATCGGCGGCATTTTCCTGGTGGTAAAGATATTATCTTATGCAAGGAATTAAACCGTGGTATAACGACCTAACACATCATACCTGATCAATTCCAGTTCTGCAGGTACGGCACATTATTCAGCATGCAACCAGTGGCGGACTTACATTATTTGGGACAATGAAGCTTGAGTTGTTTTGGGGGTCCTTGAACTCTAATGGGGTCACCTTGGCAACCAGCAATGGTTAGCCTACATAATTTATTAACCTTTTAATTTTTATTCTTTGGGTCAGACACTGTGCTTGACCACCTGGCTGTGCATCAGACACTGTGCTTGACCACCTGGCTGTGCATCAGACACTGTGTTTGACTACCTGGCTGTGCATCAGACACTGTGCTTGACCACCTGGCTGTGCATCAGACAGTGTGCTTGACCACCTGGCTGTGCATCAGACACTGTGCTTGACCACCTGGCTGTGCATCAGACACTGTGCTTGACCACCTGGCTGTGCATCAGACACTGTGCTTGACCACCTGGCTGTGCATCAGACACTGTGTTTGACTACCTGGCTGTGCATCAGACAGTGTGCTTGACCACCTTGCTGTGCATCAGACACTGTGCTTGACCACCTGGCTGTGCATCAGACACTGTGCTTGACTACCTGGCTGTGGACAGACACTGTGCTTGACCACCTTGCTGTGCATCACACACTGTGCTTGACCACCTGGCTGTGCATCAGACAGTGTGCTTGACCACCTGGCTGTGCATCAGACACTGTGCTTGACCACCTGGCTGTGCATCAGACACTGTGCTTGACTACCTGGCTGTGCATCAGACACTGTGCTTGACCACCTGGCTGTGCATCAGACACTGTGCTTGACCACCTGGCTGTGCATCAGACACTGTGCTTGACCACCTGGCTGTGCATCAGACACTGTGCTTGACCACCTGGCTGTGCATCAGACACTGTGCTTGACCACCTGGCTGTGCATTACACACTGTGCTTGACCACCTGGCTGTGCATCAGACACTGTGCTTGACCACCTGGCTGTGCATCAGACACTGTGCTTGACCACCTGGATGTGGGTCAGACACTGTGCTTGACCACCTGGCAGTGCATCACACACTGTGCTTGACTACCTGGCTGTGCATCAGACACTGTGCTTGACCACCTGGCTGTGCATCACACACTGTGCTTGACTACCTGGCTGTGCATCACACACTGTGCTTGACCACCTGGCTGTGCATCAGACACTGTGCTTAACCACCTGGATGTGGGACAGACACTGTGCTTGACCACCTGGCTGTGCATCAGACACTGTGCTTGACCACCTGGCTGTGCATCAGACACTGTGCTTGACCACCTGGCTGTACATCACACACTGTGCTTGACTACCTGGCTGTGCATCAGACACTGTGCTTGACCACCTGGCTGTGCATCAGACACTGTGCTTGACCGCCTGGCTGTGCATCAGTCACTGTGCTTGACCGCCTGGCTGTGCATCAGACACTGTGCTTGACCACCTGGCTGTGCATCAGACACTGTACTTGACCACCTGGATTTGAGACAGACACTGTGCTTGACCACCTGGCTGTGCATCAGACACTGTACTTGACCACCTGGCTGTGCATCAGACACTGGGCTTGACCTCCTGGCTGTGGATCAGACCATGTACTTGACCACCTGGCTTGGGACAGAAACACTACATGACCACCTGTCTGTGGGAAAGAAACACTGCTTGACCACTTGGCTGTGGGTCAGACGCTCTAATTGACCACCTGGCTGTTGGTCAGACGCTCTACTTGACCACCTGGCTGTGGGTCAGACGCTCTACTTGACCACCTGGCTGTGGGTCAGACACTCACTTAGCTGGTTTAGTCCACTCATACTCTCTTATATTGCAAAACCTAACCTGCTGGAATATGTGACTCTTTGCTCCCTGGCTTATTATTGTTATACTGCTGATGTAACACTGTAAATACTGTGTCTCGGTGAACCAATATATTACCTGGAGTTTACCTGGGGAGAGTTTCAGGAGTCAACGCCTCTACGGCCTGGTCTGAGACCAGGCTTAAACAAACACTACCATTTTGGCATGTTCTTGATTGTCAGGTTGTTCTTGATTACCAGGTTGTTCTTGATTGTCAGGTTGTTCTTGATTACCAGGTTGTTCTTGATTGTCAGGTTGTTCTTGATTTCCAGGTTGTTCTTGACTGTCAGGTTGTTCTTGATTACCAGGTTGTTTTTGACTGCCAGGTTGTTCTTGATTGTCAGGTTGTTCTTGATTACCAGGTTGTTCTTGATTGTCAGGTTGTTCTTGATTACCAGGTTGTTCTTGACTGTCAGGTTGTTCTTGATTACCAGGTTGTTTTTGTCTGCCAGGTTGTTCTTGATTACCAGGTTGTTCTTGATTGTCAGGTTGTTCTTGATTACCGGGTTGTTCTTGACTGCCAGGTTGTTCTTGATTACCAGGTTCTTCTTGACTGTCAGGTTGTTCTTGATTACCAGGTTGTTTTTGACTACCAGGTTGTTCTTGATTATCAGGTTGTTCTTGTCTGTCAGGTTGTTCTTGATAGCCAGATTGTTCTTGATTTCCAGGTTTTTCTTGATTACCAGGTTGTTCTTGATTACCAGGTTGTTCTTGATTACCAGGTTGTTCTTGATTACCAGGTTGTCCTTGATTGTTCAGGTTGTTCTTGATTACCAGGATGTTCTTGATTACCAGGTTGTTCTTGATTACCAGGTTGTTCTTGATAGCCAGGTTGTTCTTGATTACCAGGTTGTTCTTGATTACCAGGTTGTTCTTGATTACAGGTTGTTATTGAGTGCCAGGTTGTTCTTGATTACCAGGTTGTTCTTGATTGCCAGGTTGCTCTTGATTACCAGGTTGTTCTTAATTACCAGTTTGCTCTTGATTGTCAGGTTGTTCTTGACTGCGAGGATGTTCTTGATTACAGGTTGTTCTTGATTACCAGGTTGTTCTTGATTACCAGGTTGTTCTTGATTACCAGGTTGTTCTTGATCGCTAGGTTGTTCTTGATTACCAGGTTTTCTTGATTGCCAGGTTGTTCTTGATTACCAGGTTGTTCTTGATTACCGGTTGTTCTTGATAGCCAAGGTTGTTCTTGATTACCAGGTTGTTCTTGATTACCAGGTTGTTCTTGGTTACAGGGTGTTCTTGATTGCCAGGTTGCTCTTGATAGCCAGGTTGTTCTTGATTACCAGGTTGTTCTTGATTACCAGGTTGTTCTTGATTACCAGATTGTTCTTGATTACCGGTTGTTCTTGATAGCCAGGTTGTTCTTGATTACCAGGTTGTTTTTGACTGCCAGGTTGTTCTTGATTGTCAGGTTGTTCTTGATTTCCAGGTTGTTCTTGACTGTCAGGTTGTTCTTGATTACCAGGTTGTTTTTGACTGCCAGGTTGTTCTTGATTGTCAGGTTGTTCTTGATTACCAGGTTGTTCTTGATTGTCAGGTTGTTCTTGATTACCAGGTTGTTCTTGACTGTCAGGTTGTTCTTGATTACCAGGTTGTTTTTGTCTGCCAGGTTGTTCTTGATTACCAGGTTGTTCTTGATTGTCAGGTTGTTCTTGATTACCGGGTTGTTCTTGACTGCCAGGTTGTTCTTGATTACCAGGTTCTTCTTGACTGTCAGGTTGTTCTTGATTACCAGGTTGTTTTTGACTACCAGGTTGTTCTTGATTATCAGGTTGTTCTTGTCTGTCAGGTTGTTCTTGATAGCCAGATTGTTCTTGATTTCCAGGTTTTTCTTGATTACCAGGTTGTTCTTGATTACCAGGTTGTTCTTGATTACCAGGTTGTTCTTGATTACCAGGTTGTCCTTGATGTTCAGATTGTTCTGGATTACCAGGATGTTCTTGATTACCAGGTTGTTCTTGATTACCAGGTTGTTCTTGATAGCCAGGTTGTTCTTGATTACCAGGTTGTTCTTGATTACCAGGTTGTTCTTGATTACAGGTTGTTTATTGAGTGCCAGGGGTTTTGATTACCAGGTTGTTTCTTGATTGCCAGGGTTTCTTGATACGGTTGTTCTATTACGGTTGCTCTTGATTGTCAGGTTGTTCTTGACTAGCGAGGATGTTCTTGATTACAGGTTGTTCTTGATTACCAGTTGTTCTGATTACCAGGTTGTTCTGATTACCAGGTTGTTCTTGATACGCTAGGTTGTTCTTGATTACCAGGTTTTCTTGATTGCCAGGTTGTTCTTGATTACCAGGTTGTTCTTGATTACCGGTTGTTCTTGATAGCCAGGTTGTTCTTGATTACCAGGTTGTTCTTGATTACCAGGTTGCTCTTGGTTACAGGGTGTTCTTGATTGCCAGGTTGCTCTTGACAGCCAGGTTGTTCTTGATTACCAGGTTGTTCTTGATTACCAGGTTGTTCTTGATTACCAGATTGTTCTTGATTACCGGTTGTTCTTGATAGCCAGGTTGTTCTTGATTACCAGGTTGTTCTTGATTACCAGGTTTTTCTTGACAGCCAGGTTGTTCTTGATTACCAGGTTGTTCTTGATTACCGGTTGTTCTTGATTACCAGGTTGTTCTTGATTACCAGGTTGTTCTTGATTACCAGGTTGTTCTTGGTTACAGGGTGTTCTTGATTGCCAGGTTGCTCTTGATAGCCAGGTTGTTCTTGATTACCAGGTTGTTCTTGATTACCAGGTTGTTCTTGATTACCAGATTGTTCTTGATTACCAGGTTATTCCTGATTAGCAGGTTGATCTTGATTACCAGGTTGTTCTTGATTACCATGTTTTTCTTGACAGCCAGGTTGTTCTTGATTACCAGGCTGTTCTTGATTACCAGGTTGTTCTTGATAGCCAGGTTGTTCTTGATTACCAGGTTATTCTTGATTTCAGGGTTGTTCTTGATTACCAGGATGTTCTTGATTACCAGGTTTTTCTTCATAGCCAGGTTGTTCTTGATTACCAGATTGTTCTTGATTGCCAGGTTGTCCTTGATAGCCAGGTTGTTCTTGATTACCAGGTTGCTCTTGATTACCAGGTTGTTCTTGATTACCAGGTTGTTCTTGATAGCCAGGTTGTTCTTGATTACAGGTTGTTCTTGATTGCAAGGTTTTTCAGGATTACCAGGTTGTTCTTGATTACCAGGTTGTTCTTGATTACCAGGTTGTTCTTGATTACCAGGTTGTTCTTGATTATAGGTTGTTCTTGATTACCAGGTTGTTCTTGAATACCAGGTTGTTCTTGATTACCAGGTTGTCTTGTTACCAGGTTGTTCTTGATTACCAGGTTGTTCTTGATAGTCAGGTTGTTCTTGATTACCAGGTTGTTCTTAATTACCAGGTTGTTCTTGATTACAGGTTGTTGTTGATTGCCAGGTTGTTCTTGATTACAGGTTGTTCTTGATTACCAGGTTGTTCTTGATTACCAGGTTGTTCTTGATTACCAGGTTGTTCTTGATTACCAGGTTGTTCTTGATTACCAGGTTGTTCTTGATAGTCAGGTTGTTCTTGATTACCAGGTTGTTCTTAATTACCAGGTTGTTCTTGATTACAGGTTATTGTTGATTGCCAGGTTGTTCTTGATTACCAGATTATTCTTGATTGCCAGGTTGTTCTTGATTACCAGGTTGTTCTTGATTACCAGGTTGTTCTTGATTACCAGGCTGTTCTTGAAAGCCAGGTTGTTCTTGATTACTAGATTATTCTTGATTGCAAGGTTGTTCTTGATTACAGGGTTGTTCTTGATTGCCAGGTTGTTCTTGATAGCCAGGTTGTTCTTGATTACCAGGTTGTTCTTGATTACCAGGTTGTTCTTGATTACCAGGTTGTTCTTGATTACCATTTTGTCCTTGATTACCAGGTTGTTCTTGATTACCAGGTTGTTCTTGACTACTGGGTTGTTCTTGATTACCTGGTTGTTCTTGATTACAGGTTATTCTTGATTGCCAAGTTATTCCTGATTACCAGGTTGTGCTTGACTGCCTGGTTGTTCTTGATTGCCTTGTTGTCCTTGATAGCCAGGTTGTTCTTGATTACCAGGTTGTTCTTGATTACCAGGTTGTTCTTGATTACAGGTTGTTCTTGATTGCCAGGTTGTTCTTGATTACTAGGTTGTTCTTGATTACAAGTTGTTCTTGATTGCCAAGTTATTCTTGATTGCCAGGTTGTGCTTGACTGCCTGGATGTTCTTGATTTTCATGTTGTCATTGATAGCCAGGTTGTTCTTGATTATCAGGTTGTTCTTGATAGCAGGTTGGTCTTGATTACAGTTGTTCTTGATTGCCAGGTTGTTCTTGATTCAGGTGTTCTTGAGTTACCAGTGTTCTGATTACCAGGTTTTCTTGATTACAGGTTGTTCTTGATTGCGAAGTTATTCTTGATTACCAAGTTGTTCTTGATTACAAGGTTGTTCTTGATTTCCAGGTTGTGCTTGACTGCCAGGTTGCTCTTGATTATCAAGTTGATCTTGATTGCCAAGTTGTTCTTGATTGTCAGGTTGTTCTTGATTACCAGGTTGTTCTTGACTGTCAGGTTGTTCTTGATTACCAGGTTGTTTTTGACTGCCAGGTTGTTCTTGATTATCAGGTTGTTCTTGACTGTCAGGTTGTTCTTGATAGCCAGGTTGTTCTTGATTTCCAGGTTGTTCTTGATTACCAGGTTGTTCTTGATTGCCTGGTTGTTCTTGATTACAGGTTGTTCTTGATTACAGGTTGTTCTTGATTACCAGGTTGTTCTTGATTACCAGGTTATTCTTGATTACCAGGTTGTTCTTGATTACCAGGTTGTTCTTGATTACCAGGTTGTCCTTGATTTTTAGGTTGTTCTTGATTACCAGGTTGTTCTTGATTACCAGGTTGTTCTTGATTACCAGGTTGTTCTTGATAGCCAGGTTGTTCTTGATTACCAGGTTGTTCTTGATTACCAGGTTGCTCTTGATTAAAGGTTGTTATTGAGTGCCAGGTTGTTCTTGATTACCAGGTTGTTCTTGATTTTTAGGTTGTTCTTGATTACCATGTTGTTCTTGATTACCAGGTTGTTCTTGATAGCCAGGTTGTTCTTGATTACCAGGTTGTTCTTGATTACCAGGTAGTTCTTGATTACAGGTTGTTATTGAGTGCCAGGTTGTTCTTGATTACCAGGTTGTTCTTGATTACAGGTTGTTCTTGATTACCAGGTTGTTCTTGATTACCAGGTTGCTCTTGATTGTCAGGTTGTTCTTGACTGCCAGGATGTTCTTGATTACAAGTTGTTCTTGATTACCAGGTTGTTCTTGATTACCAGGTTGTTTTTGATTACCAGGTTGCTCTTGATTGCCGGGTTGTTCTTGATTACCAGGTTGTTCTTGATTGCCAGGTTGTTCTTGATTACCAGGTTGTTCTTGATTACCGGTTGTTCTTGATAGCCAGGTTGTTCTTGATTACCAGGTTGTTCTTGATTACCAGGTTGTTCTTGATTACCAGGTTGCTCTTGATTGTCAGGTTGTTCTTGACTGCCAGGATGTTCTTGATTACAGGTTGTTCTTGATTACCAGGTTGTTCTTGATTACCAGGTTGTTCTTGATTACCAGGTTGCTCTTGATTGCCAGGTTGTTCTTGATTACCAGGTTGTTCTTGATTGCCAGGTTGTTCTTGATTACCAGGTTGTTCTTGATTACCAGGTTGTTCTTGATAGCCAGGTTGTTCTTGATTACCAGGTTGTTCTTGATTATCAGGTTGTTCTTGATTACCAGGTTATTCTAGATTACCAGGTTCTTCTTGATTACCAGGTTGTTATTGATTACCAGGTTGTTCTTGATTACAGGTTTCTCTTGACAGCCAGGTTGTTCTTGATTACCAGGTTGCTCTTGATTACCAGGTTGTTCTTGATAGCCAGGTTGTTCTTGATTACCATGTTATTCTTGATTTCCAGGTTGTTCTTGATTACCAGGATGTTCTTGATTACCAGGTTTTTCTTGCTAGCCAGGTTGTTCTTGATTACCAGATTGTTCTTGATTGCCAGGTTGTTCTTGATAGCCAGGTTGTTCTTGATTACCAGGTTGTTCTTGATTACCAAGTTGTTCTTGATTACAGGTTGTTCTTGATTGCCAGGTTTTTCTTGAAATTTCCAGTTGTTCTTGATTACCAGGTTGTTCTTGATTACCAGGTTGTTCTTGATTGCCAGGTTGTTCTTGATTACAGGTTGTTCTTGATTACCAGGTTGTTCTTGATTACCAGGTTGTTCTTGATTACCAGGTTGTTCTTGATTGCCAGGTTGTTCTTGATTACCAGGTTGTTCTTGATTACAGGTTGTTCTTGATTGCCAGGTTGTTCTTGATTACCAGGTTGTTCTTGATTACCAGGTTGTTCTTGATAGCCAGGTTGTTCTTGATTACAAGTTGTTCTTGATTGCCATATTGTCCTTGATTGCCATGTTGTCCTTGATTGCCAGTTTGTCCTTGATTGCCAGGTTGTTCTTGATTGCCAGGTTGTCCTTGATTGCCATGTTGTCCTTGTTTGCCAGTTTGTCCTTGATTGCCAGTTTGTCCTTGATTGCCAGGTTGTTCTTGATTGCCAGGTTGTCCTTGATTGCCATGTTGTCCTTGATTGCCAGTTTGTCCTTGATTGCCATGTTGTCCTTGATTGCCAGTTTGTCCTTGATTGCCATGTTGTCCTTGATTGCCAGGTTGTGCTTGACAAGCAGGAGGTCTACTGGCCCATACTTGGCCAGTAGGCCTCCTGCAGTGCTTGTAACCTTTTTCTTGTATTGGTATTATACTATTTTGAAAAAGCCCTAAGCCCGTAGGGCCCATAAGACTCCTGGGTTAAACCAGAGGCAATCAGGTTCATTCCAAGGAATGGGAGGACATCCCCAGTGCCTTGGATCAAGAGACAAATGCGGTCTCAAATATAAACACATGCTCGCTTTTAAGCTATTTCTCACCTGTAAATTGTAAACAACTGCAGGTGTAAACAACTGCAGGTGTAAACAACTGCAGGAGTAAACAACTGCAGGTGTAAACAACTGCAGGAGTAAACAACTGAGGTGTAAACAACTGCAGGTGTAAACAACTGCAGGTGTAAACAACTGCAGGTGTAAACAACTGCAGGAGTAAACAACTGCAGGTGTAAACAACTGCAGGTGTAAACAACTGCAGGAGTTAACAACTGCAGGTGTAAACAACTGCAGGTGTAAACAACTGCAGGTGTAAACAACTGCAGGTGCAAACAGCTCAGGTGTAAACAACTTCAGATGTAAACTTCAGGTGTAAACAATTCAGGTAACAAAAAGTTCAGGTGTCAACTTCGGTGTAAACAACCCAGGTATAGACAGCTTCGGTGTAAACAACTCAGGCATAAAAAACTTCATGTGTAAACAACTCAAGTGTAAACAACTCAGGTGTAAACAACTCAGATATAAACTCAGGTGTAAACAACTCAGGTGTCAACAACTCAGGTGTAAACAACTCAGGTGTCAACAATTCAGGTGTAAACAACTCAGATATAAACAACATCAGAAGTACACAACTCAGGTGTAAACAACTCAGGTGTAAACAACTCAGGTGTAAACAACTCAGGTGTAAACAACTCAGGTGTAAACACCTATAAGTGTAATGTGTAAACAGCACTATGTCTCACCTGTAAGTGTTGTCTACGTTCAGCAAGTGTTGCCTGAAGCTGACTCTCGTAATGTTGAGTAACCAGTTGAAGTTCAGCTTGAACCCGACCAAGCTTAATCTGCAGCTGTATTCAAACATGGTTATATATATATATATATATATATATATATATATAATTATTATTAAATGTATATATATATAATATATATATATATATATATATATATATATATATATATATATATATATATATATATATAATATATATATAATATATATATATATATAATATATATATATGTATTAATAGCAGTTAGGAGGGTGTGTAGAAAGATATTTTTATAATTATTATTATTATTATTATTATTATTATTATTGTTATTATTATTATTATTATTATTATTATTATTATTATTATTATTATTATTATTATTATTATTATTATTGTTATTATTATTATTATTATTATTATTATTATTATTATTATTATTATTATTATTATTATTATTATTATTGTTATTATATTATTATTATTATTATTATTATTATTTTTGAAGCAGTTTGTGACAGAACCTACAAGGGGAAATGACCTATTTGATTTGGTTCTGGCGAACAAGGAAACCCTTGTTAATAATTTAGAAATTAACGAGGAACTCAGCACAAGCGATCACAAATCAATTGCCTTTAGCATAGAATGGAAGTATGATAGTAGGATAACTCAGTAACAGTCCCAGATCTTCGCTTAGCAGATTACGATGGGCTTAGAGAACACTTATCATCTGTTGACTGGGGTAACGAAGAGAGCTATCAATATGACAGTTTTCTGAACACTATACATGAGGCTCAAAGAACGTTTATCCCGTATAAAGAAATTTGATCACATAGAAATGACCCATAATGGATGAATAATAGGCTTAAATATCTACTAGGGCATAAGAAAGGAATTTATAGGCGTATCAAAAGAGGCGAGGGTCATCTTATGAATCAGTATATTGACATTAAGAGGGACATTAACAAGGGGATAAGAAAAGCTAAAACGGACTATGAAATTAAAGTTGCTAGGGATTCTAAAACTAACCCAAAAAGTTTTTTCCAGGTCTATAGAACAAAAGTTAGAGATAAGATAGGTCCCCTTAAAAATAACTATGGGCATCTTACTGACAAAGATAATGAAATGTGCTCGATTTTAAATAATTATTTTCTCTCGGTTTTTACACAGGAAGACACTAACAATATTCCAGTAATTAATTTTTATAGTGGATCAGAAGAAGATAAATTTTGTAACATCACAGTCACTAGTGAGATGGTTGTGAAGCAGATAGACAGACTGAAGCAAAATAAGTCGCCGGGCCCTGATGAGGTTTTTTCAAGGGTTCTTAAGGAATGTAAAATGGAACTCTGTGAACCATTAACTAATATTTTTAATTTATCTCTTCAGACAGGTGTAGTGTCTGATATGTTGGAGATGGCTAATGTAATTCCTATTTTTAAAACAGGGGACAAGTCGTTACCGTCAAATTACCGCCCAATAATCTGACCTCAATTGTAGGCAAATTACTAGAGTCAATTATAGCTGAGATTATAAGAAGCCATCTCGATAAGCATAGCTTGATTAATGATACTCAGCATGGATTCACAAGAGGCCGGTCTTGTCTAACTAATTTATTAACTTTCTTCAGTAAAGCTTTTGAGGCTGTTGATCACGATAAAGAATTTGATATTATTTACTTAGATTTTAGTAAGGCTTTTGATAGAGTTCCGCACCATAGACTGTTAAAGAAAGTGGCAGCTCATGGCATTGGGGGAAAAGTGCTCTCGTGGATCGAGTCATGGCTCACTGACAGGAAGCAGAGAGTGTCCATAAATGGGGTTAAATCCGAGTGGGGATCTGTAACAAGTGGGGTTCCACAGATCAGTCTTAGGCCCGTTGTTGTTTATAATATATATCAATGACCTTGATGAGGGTATTACTAGTGATATGAGCAAATTCGCCGATGACACAAAGATAGGTAGGATAATTGATTCAAACGTAGATGTTATGGAACTTCAGGAGGATTTAGACAAACTCTATTCTTGGTCAGAAAAGTGGCAGATGCAGCTCAATGTAGATAAATGCAAGGTTCTGAAGCTCGGGAGTGTCCATAAACCTAGCACTTATAAGTTAAATAATGTAGAACTTAGCCATACAGATTGCGAAAAGGACTTGGGGGTTATGGTGAGCAGCAACCTTAAACCTAGACAGCAATGCCTAAGCGTACGTAATAAGGCAAATAGATTACTGGGATTTATATCAAGAAGTGTAAGCAACAGAAGTCCAGAGGTCATACTGCAGCTTTATACATCATTAGTAAGGCCTCACCTAGATTATGCAGCTCAATTCTGGTCTCCATATTACAGAATGGACATAAATTCGTTAGAAAACATTCAGCGTAGGATGACTAAATTACTGCATAGCATTAGAAATCTTCCTTATGAAGAAAGATTGAAGACTCTTAAGTTACATTCACTTGTTAGACGAAGAATGAGGGAAGACCTGATCGAAGTGTATAAGTGGAAGATAGGTATTAATAAAGGGGATATTAACAAGGTCTTGAGGATATCTCTCCAAGAGAGAACCCGCAGTAATGGATTTGAATTAGATAAGTTTAGATTTAGAAAGGACATAGGAAAGTATTGGTTTGGAAATAGGGTAGTTGATGAGTGGAACAGTCTACCTAGTTGGGTTATTGAGGCTAGGACTTTTGGTAGTTTCAAATTTAGGTTGGATAAATATATGAGTGAGAGGGGTTGGATTTGAGTGGGACTTGCAAATGAGTGGATAGAGTTATCAGAGCTTATTTCTTGGGTGGCATTGAAAATTGGGTTGGGCAAATGTTTTGTTAGTGGGATGAATTGTAAAGGACCTGCCTAGTATGGGCCAACAGGCCTCCTGCAGTGTTCCTCCTTTCTTATGTTCTTATGTTCTTATTATTATTATTATTATTATTATTATTATTATTAAAAAAGTTTGGTTAAAATAGTGGAGCAGTTAAAACAATGGTACAAGGAAATAATGGAACAAGAGAACAATCGTACAAGAGAACAATGGCACAAGGGAAGACTGGAACAAGAGAACAACCGTACAAGGCAACAAAGAAGCAATAGTACAAGGAACAATGGTACAAGAGAATAATGGAACAATTGTACAATTGAGCAGTGGAACAAGGGAACAATGGAACAAGAGAACAATGGAACAAGAGAACAATGGAACAAGAGAACAATGGTACAAGGGAACAATAAAAGAAGAGAAAAATGCATCACGAGAACAATGGTACACGAAAACAATGGTACAAGGAAACAATGGTACAAGGGAAAATCGTAGAAGAGAAAAAGGGAAAAACGGAATAAGAGAACAGTGGTACAAGGAACAATGGAACTAGAATACAATTGTACAAAGCTCAATGGAACAAGAGAATAATTGTACAATTGAAAATTAGAGCAAGAACACAGTGGAACAAGAGAACAATGGTACAAGGTCTAGCAGACCTTGTAGGCCTAGCAGACCTTGTAGGCCTAGCAGACCTTGTAGGTCTAGCAGACCTTGTAGGTCTAGCAGACCTTGTAGGCCTAGCAAACCTTGTAGGCCTAGCAGACCTTGTAGGCCTAGCAGACCTTGTAGGTCTAGCAGACCTTGTAGGTCTAGCAGACCTTGTAGGTATAGCAGACCTTGTAGGTCTAGCAGACCTTGTAGGTCTAGCAGACCTTGTAGGCCTAGCAGACCTTGTAGGTCTAGCAGACCTTGTAGGTCTAGCAGACCTTGTAGGTCTAGCAGACCTTGTAGGCCTAGCAGACCTTGTAGGCCTAGCAGACCTTGTAGGTCTAGCAGACCTTGTAGGTCAAGCAGACCTTGTAGGCCTAGCAGACCTTGTAGGTCTAGCAGACATTGTAGGTCTAGCAAACCTTGTAGGCCTAGCAGACCTTGCAGGCCTAGCAGACCTTGTAGGTATAGCAGACCATGGAGGCCTAGCAGACCTAGTAGGTCTAATATACCTAATAGGCCTACTAGACCTAATAGGTCTATAAGTTCTAATAGACCTATGACAGTGACCTCCTGTGTTCTTAGATTTTGTTCCATTTCATTCTCAAATGATCATATTGAAGACCACAGTCCCTGACATCTACTTCTTGAAGGTCACAGTCCCTGACATCTACTTCTTGAAGGTCACAGTCCCTGACATCTACTTCTTGAAGGTCACAGTCCCTGACATCTACTTCTTGAAGGTCACAGTTACTGACATCTACTTCTTGAAGACTTCAGTTCCAGACATCTACTTCTTGAAGGTCACAGTCCCTGACATCTACTTCTTGAAGGTCACAGTCCCTGACATCTACTTCTTGAAGGTCACAGTCCCTGACATCTACTTCTTGAAGGTCACAGTCCCTGACATCTACTTCTTGAAGGCCACAGTTCCTGACATCTACTTCTTGAAGGTCACAGTCCCTGACATCTACTTCTTGAAGACTTCAGTTCCTGACATCTACTTCTTGAAGGTCATAATTCCTGACATCTACTTCTTGAAGGTCACAGTCCCTGACATCTACTTCTTGAAGGTCATAATTCCTGACATCTACTTCTTGAAGGTCACAGTTCCTGACATCTACTTCTTGAAGGTCATAATTCCTGACATCTACTTCTTGAAGGTCACAGTCCCTGACATCTACTTCTTGAAGGTCACAGTCCCTGACATCTACTTCTTGAAGGTCACAATTCCTGACATCTACTTCTTGAAGGCCACAGTTCCTGACATCTACTTCTTGAAGGTCACAATTCCTGACATCTACTTCTTGAAGGTCACAATTCCTGACATCTACTTCTTGAAGGTCACAATCCCTGACATCTACTTCATGAAGGTCACAGTTCCTGACATCTACTTCTTGAAGGTCACAATTCCTGACATCTACTTCTTGAAGGTCACAGTCCCTGACATCCACTTCTTGAAGACCACATTTGTTGACATCTACTTCTTGAAGGTCACAGTCCCTGATATCCACTTCTTGAAGACCTCAGTTGTTGACATCTACTTCTTGAAGGTCACAGTTCCTGACATCTACTTCTTGAAGGTCACAGTCCCTGACATCTACTTCTTGAAGGTCACAGTTCCTGACATCTACTTCTTGAAGACTTCAGTTCCTGACATCTACTTCTTGAAGGTCACAGTCCCTGACATCTACTTCTTGAAGGTCACAGTCCCTGACATCTACTTCTTGAAGACTTCAGTTCCTGACATCTACTTCTTGAAGGTCACAGTCCCTGACATCTACTTCTTGAAGGTCACAGTCCCTGACGTCTACTTCTTGAAGACTTCAGTTCCTGACATCTACTTCTTGAAGGTCACAGTTCCTGACATCTACTTCTTGAAGACTTCAGTTCCTGACATCTACTTCTTGAAGGTCACAGTCCCTGACATCTACTTCTTGAAGGTCACAGTCCCTGACATCTACTTCTTGAAGGTCAGTCCCTGACATCTACTTCTTGAAGAACTCAGCCCCTGACATCTACTTCTTGAAGGTCACAGTCCCTGACATCTACTTCTTGAAGGTCACAGTCCCTGACATCTACTTCTTGAAGGTCACAGTCCCTGACATCTACTTCTTGAAGGTCAGTCCCTGACATCTACTTCCTGAAGACCTTAGTTCCTGACATCTACTTCTTGAAGGTCACAGTCCCTGACATCTACTTCTTGAAGGTCACAGTCCCTGACATCTACTTCCTGAAGACCTTAGTTCCTGACATCTACTTCTTGAAGGTCACAGTCCCTGACATCTACTTCTTGAAGAACTCAGTCCCTGACATCTACTTCTTGAAGGTCACAGTCTCTGACATCTACTTCTTGAAGACTTCAGTTCCTGACATCTACTTCTTGAAGGTCACAGTCCCTGACATCTACTTCTTGAAGGTCACAGTCCATGACATCTACTTCTTGAAGGTCACAGTCCCTGACATCTACTTCTTGAAGGTCACAGTCCCTGACATCTACTTCTTGAAGAACTCAGTCCCTGACATCTACTTCTTGAAGGTCACAGTCCCTGACATCTACTTCTTGAAGGTCACAGTCCCTGACATCTACTTCTTGAAGGTCACAGTCCCTGACATCTACTTCTTGAAGACTTCAGTTCCTGACATCTACTTCTTGAAGGTCACAGTCCCTGACATCTACTTCTTGAAGGTCACAGTCCCTGACATCTACTTCTTGAAGAACTCAGTCCCTGACATCTACTTCTTGAAGGTCACAGTCCCTGACATCTACTTCTTGAAGGTCACAGTTCCTGACATCTACTTCTTGAAGGTCACAGTCCCTGACATCTACTTCCTGAAGACCTTAGTTCCTGACATCTACTTCTTGAAGGTCACAGTCCCTGACATCTACTTCTTGAAGGTCACAGTCCCTGACATCTACTTCCTGAAGACCTTAGTTCCTGACATCTACTTCTTGAAGGTCACAGTCTCTGACATCTACTTCTTGAAGGTCACAGTCCCTGACATCTACTTCTTGAAGAACTCAGTTCCTGACATCTACTTCTTGAAGGTCACAGTCCCTGACATCTACTTCTTGAAGAACTCAGTTCCTGACATCTACTTCTTGAAGGTCACAGTCTCTGACATCTACTTCTTGAAGGTCACAGTCCCTGACATCTACTTCTTGAAGGTCACAGTCCCTGACATCTACTTCTTGAAGGTCACAGTCCCTGACATCTACTTATTTAAGGTCACAGTTCCTGACATCTACTTCTTGAAGGTCACAGTCCCTGATATCTACTTCTTGAAGACCTCAGTTGTTGACATCTACTTCTTGAAGGTCACAGTCCCTGATATCTACTTCTTGAAGACCTCAGTTGTTGACATCTACTTCTTGAAGGTCACAGTTCCTGACATCTACTTCTTGAAGACTCCAGTTGTTGACATCTACTTCTTGAAGGTCACAGTCCCTGATATCTACTTCTTGAAGACCTCAGTTGTTGACATCTACTTCTTGAAGGTCACAGTCCCTGACATCTACTTCTTGAAGGTCACAGTCCCTGACATCTACTTATTTAAGGTCACAGTTCCTGACATCTACTTCTTGAAGGTCAGAGTCCCTGACATCTACTTCTTGAAGGTCACAGTCCCTGACATCTACTTCTTGAAGACTTCAGTTCCTGACATCTACTTCTTGAAGGTCACAGTCCCTGACATCTACTTCTTGAAGGTCACAGTCCCTGACATCTACTTCCTGAAGGTCACAGTCCCTGACATCTACTTCTTGAAGACCTCAGTTGCTGACATCTACTTCTTGAAGACCTCAGTTCCTGACATCTACTTCTTGAAGGTCACAGTCCCTGACATCTACTTCTTGAAGGTCACAGTCCCTGACATCTACTTCTTGAAGGTCACAGTTCCTGACATCTACTTCTTGAAGGTCAGAGTCCCTGACATCTACTTCTTGAAGACCTCAGTTCCTGACATCTACTTCTTGAAGACTTCAGTTCCTGACATCTACTTCTTGAAGGTCACAGTCCCTGACATCTACTTCTTGAAGACTTCAGTTCCTGACATCTACTTCTTGAAGGTCACAGTCCCTGACATCTACTTCTTGAAGACCACAGTTGTTGACATCTACTTCTTGAAGACCACAGTTGTTGACATCTACTTCTTGAAGACCACAGTTGTTGACATCTACTTCTTGAAGACCTCAGTTGTTGACATCTACTTCTTGAAGACCACAGTTGTTGACATCTACTTCTTGAAGACCTCAGTTGTTGACATCTACTTCTTGAAGACCACAGTTGTTGACATCTACTTCTTGAAGACCACAGTTGTTGACATCTACTTCTTGAAGACTTCAGTTGTTGACATCTACTTCTTGAAGGTCACAGTCCCTGACATCTACTTCTTGAAGGTCACAGTCCATGACATCTACTTCTTGAAGGTCACAGTCCATGACATCTACTTCTTGAAGGTCACAGTCCCTGACATCTACTTCTTGAAGGTCACAATCCCTGACATCTACTTCTTGAAGGTCACAGTCCATGACATCTACTTCTTGAAGATCACGGTCCCTGACATCTACTTCTTGAAGGTCACAGTCCCTGACATCTACTTCTTGAAGACTACAGTTCCTGACATCTACTTCTTGAAGGTCACAATCCCTGACATCTACTTCATGAAGGTCACAGAACTTGACATCTACTTCTTGAAGACTTCAGTTAATGACATCTGCTTCTTGATGGTCACAATCCCTGACATCTACTTCTTAAAGGTCACAGTCCCTGACATCTACTTCTTGAAGACCACAGTCCTTGACATCTACTTCTTGAAGGTCACAGTTCCTGACATCTACTTCTTGAAGACTTCAGTTCCTGACATCTACTTCTTGAAGGTCACAGCCCCTGACATCTACTTCTTGAAGACCTCAGTTCCTGACATCTACTTCTTGAAGGTCACAATCCCTGACATCTACTTCTTGAAGGTCACAGTCCATGACATCTACTTCTTGAAGATCACGGTCCCTGACATCTACTTCTTGAAGGTCACAGTCCCTGACATCTACTTCTTGAAGACTTCAGTTCCTGACATCTACTTCTTGAAGGTCACAATCCCTGACATCTACTTCATGAAGGTCACAGTTCCTGACATCTACTTCTTGAAGGTCACAGTCCCTGACATCTACTTCTTGAAAGTCACAGTCCCTGACATCTACTTCCTGAAGACCTCAGTTCCTGACATCTACTTCTTGAAGGTCACAGTCCCTGACATCTACTTCCTGAAGGTCAGAGTCCCTGACATCTACTTCTTGAAGACCTCAGTTCCTGACATCTACTTCTTGAAGGTCACAGTCCCTGACATCTACTTCTTGAAGGTCACAGTCCCTGACATCTACTTCTTGAAGACCAGAGTTATTGACATCTACTTCTTGAAGACCTCAGTTGTTGACATCTACTTCTTGAAGACCTCAGTTGTTGACATCTACTTCTTGAAGGTCAGAGTCCCTGACATCTACTTCTTGAAGGTCACAGTCCCTGACATCTACTTCTTGAAGACTTCAGTTCCTGACATCTGCTTCTTGAAGGTCACAATCCCTGACATCTACTTCTTAAAGGTCACAGTCCCTGACATCTACTTCTTGAAGACCACAGTTCCTGACATCTACTTCTTGAAGACCACTGTCCCTGACATCTACTTCTTGAAAACCACAGTCCCTGACATCTACTTCTTGAAGGTCACAATCCCTGACATCTACTTCTTGAAGGTCAGAGTCCCTGACATCTAATTCTTGAAGACTTCAGCTCCTGACATCTACTTCTTGAACGTCACAGTCCCTGACATCTACTTCTTGAAGGTCACAGTCCCTGACATCTACTTCCTGAAGGTCAGAGTCCCTGACATCTACTTCTTGAAGACTTCAGTTCCTGACATCTACTTCTTGAAGGTCAGAGTCCCTGACATCTACTTCTTGAAGACTTCAGTTCCTGACATCTACTTCTTGAAGGTCACAGTTCCTGACATCTACTTCTTGAAGACTTCAGTTCCTGACATCTACTTCTTGAAGGTCCCAGTCCCTGACATCTACTTCTTGAAGACTTCAGTTCCTGACATCTACTTCTTGAAGGTCACAGTCCCTGACATCTACTTCTTGAAGACCAGAGTTATTGACATCTACTTCTTGAAGACCACAGTTGTTGACATCTACTTCGTGAAGACCACAGTTGTTGACATCTACTTCTTGAAGACCAGAGTTATTGACATCTACTTCTTGAAGACCACAGTTGTTGACATCTACTTCTTGAAGACCTCAGTTGTTGACATCTACTTCTTGAAGACCACAGTTGTTGACATCTACTTCTTGAAGACTACAGTTGTTGACATCTACTTCTTGAAGACCACAGTTGTTGACATCTACTTCTTGAAGACCTCAGTTGTTGACATCTACTTCTTGAAGACCACAGTTGTTGACATCTACTTCTTGAAGACCATAGTTGCTGACATCTACTTCTTGAAGACCACAGTTGTTGACATCTACTTCTTGAAGACCACAGTTGTTGACATCTACTTCTTGAAGACCACAGTTGTTGACATCTACTTCTTGAAGACCACAGTTGTTGACATCTACTTCTTGAAGACCACAGTTGTTGACATCTACTTCTTGAAGGCCACAGTTGTTGACATCTACTTATTTAAGGTCACAGTCCCTGACATCTACTTCTTGAAGACCTCAGTTGCTGACATCTACTTCTTGAAGGTCACAGAACTTGACATCTACTTCTTGAAGACTTCAGTTCCTGACATCTGCTTCTTGAAGGTCACAATCCCTGACATCTACTTCTTAAAGGTCACAGTCCCTGACATCTACTTCTTAAAGACCACAGTCCTTGACATCTACTTCTTGAAGGCCACAGTTCCTGACATCTACTTTTTGAAGGTCACAGTCCCTGACATCTACTTCTTGAAGGTCACAGTTCCTGACATCTACTTCTTGAAGACTTCAGTTCCTGACATCTACTTCTTGAAGGTCACAGTTCATGACATCTACTTCTTGAAGGTCACAGCCCCTGACATCTACTTCTTGAAGACCTCAGTTCCTGACATCTACTTCTTGAAGGTCACAGTCCCTGACATCTACTTCTTGAAGACCTCAGTTCCTGACATCTACTTCTTGAAGGTCACAGTCCCTGACATCTACTTCTTGAAGGCCACAGTTCCTGACATCTACTTTTTGAAGGCCACAGTTCCTGACATCTACTTCTTGAAGGTCACAGTCCCTGACATCTACTTCTTAAAGGTCACAGTCCCTGACATCTACTTCTTGAAGACTTCAGTTCCTGACATCTACTTCTTGAAGGTCACAGTCCCTGACATCTACTTCTTGAAGGTCACAGTCCCTGACATCTACTTACTGAAGGTCACAGTCCCTGACATCTACTTCTTGAAGACCTCAGTTGCTGACATCTACTTCTTGAAGACCTCAGTTCCTGACATCTACTTCTTGAAGGTCACAGTCCCTGACATCTACTTCTTGAAGGCCACAGTTCCTGACATCTTCTTCTTGAAGGTCACAGTCCCTGACATCTACTTCTTGAAGGTCACAGTCCCTGACATCTACTTCCTGAATTTCAGAGTCCCTGACATCTACTTCTTGAAGACCTCAGTTCCTGACATCTACTTCTTGAAGGTCACAGTCCCTGACATCTACTTCTTGAAGACTTCAGTTCCTGACATCTACTTCTTGAAGGTCACAGTCCCTGACATCTACTTCTTGAAGACCTCAGTTCCTGACATCTACTTCTTGAAGGTCACAGTCCCTGACATCTACTTCTTGAAGACCTCAGTTCCTGACATCTACTTCTTGAAAGTCACAGTCCCTGACATCTACTTCTTTTAGGTCACAGTCCCTGACATCTACTTCCTGAAGGTCAGAGTCCCTGACATCTACTTCTTGAAGACCTCAGTTCCTGACATCTACTTCTTGAAGGTCACAGTCCCTGACATCTACTTATTGAAGACCACAGTTGTTAACATCTACTTCTTGAAGACTAGAGTTGTTGACATCTACTTCTTGAAGACCTCAGTTGTTGACATCTACTTCTTGAAGACCATAGTTGTTGACATCTACTTCTTGAAGACCTCAGTTGTTGACATCTACTTCTTGAAGACCACAGTCCCTGACATCTACTTCTTGAAGACCACAGTTGTTGACATCTACTTCTTGAAGGTCACAGTCCCTGACATCTACTTCTTGAAGACTTCAGTTCCTGACATCTGCTTCTTGAAGGTCACAATCCCTGACATCTACTTCTTAAAGGTCACAGTCCCTGACATCTACTTCTTGAAGACCACAGTTCATGACATCTACTTCTTAAAGGTCACAGTCCCTGACATCTACATCTTGAAGGTCACAGTCCCTGACATCTACTTCTTGAAGACCACGGTCCCTGACATCTACTTCTTGAAGGTCACAGTCCCTGACATCTAATTCTTGAAGACTTCAGTTCCTGACATCTACTTCTTGAAGGTCACAATCCTTGACATCTACTTCTTGAAGGTCATAGTCCCTGACGTCTACTTCTTGAAGACTTCAGTTCCTGACATCTACTTCTTGAAGGTCACAGTCCGTGACATCTACTTCTTGAAGGTCACAGTCCCTGACATCTACTTCTTGAAGGTCACAGTCCCTGACATCTACTTCCTGAAGACCTCAGTTCCTGACATCTACTTCTTGAAGGTCACAGTCCCTGACATCTATTTCTTGAAGGTCACAATCCCTGACATCTACTTCCTGAAGGTCACAGTCCCTGACATCTACTTCTTGAAGACCTCAGTTCCTGACATCTACTTCTTGAAGGTCACAATCCCTGACATCTACTTCCTGAAGGTCACAGTCCCTGACATCTTCTTCTTGAAGACTTCAGTTCCTGACATCTACTTCTTGAAGGTCACAGTCCCTGACATCTACTTCTTGAAGACCTCAGTTTCGGACATCTACTTCCTGAAGGTCACAGTCCCTGACATCTACTTCTTGAAGGTCACAGCCCCTGACATCTACTTCCTGAAGGTCAGAGTCCCTGACATCTACTTCTTGAAGACTTCAGTTCCTGACATCTACTTCTTGAAGGTCACAGTCCCTGACATCTACTTCTTGAAGACTTCAGTTCCTGACATCTACTTCTTGAAGGTCACAGTCCCTGACATCTACTTCTTGAAGACCTCAGTTCCTGACATCTACTTCTTGAAGACTTCAGTTCCTGACATCTACTTCTTGAAGGTCACAGTCCCTGACATCTACTTCTTGAAGACTTCAGTTCCTGACATCTACTTCTTGAAGGTCACAGTCCCTGACATCTACTTCTTGAAGACCAGAGTTATTGACATCTACTTCTTGAAGACCACAGTTGTTGACATCTACTTCTTGAAGACCACAGTTGTTGACATCTACTTCTTGAAGACCAGAGTTATTGACATCTACTTCTTGAAGACCACAGTTGTTGACATCTACTTCTTGAAGACCTCAGTTGTTGACATCTACTTCTTTGAAGACCACAGTTGTTGACATCTACTTCTTGAAGACTACAGTTGTTGACATCTACTTCTTGAAGACCACAGTTGTTGACATCTACTTCTTGAAGACCTCAGTTGTTGACGTCTACTTCTTGAAGACCACAGTTGTTGACATCTACTTCTTGAAGACCATAGTTGCTAACATCTACTTCTTGAAGACCACAGTTGTTGACATCTACTTCTTGAAGACCACAGTTGTTGACATCTACTTCTTGAAGACCACAGTTGTTGACATCTACTTCTTGAAGACCACAGTTGTTGACATCTACTTCTTGAAGACCACAGTTGTTGACATCTACTTCTTGAAGACCACAGTTGTTGACATCTACTTATTTAAGGTCACAGTCCCTGACATCTACTTCTTGAAGACCTCAGTTGCTGACATCTACTTCTTGAAGACCTCAGTTGCTGACATCTACTTCTTGAAGGTCACAGAACTTGACATCTACTTCTTGAAGACTTCAGTTCCTGACATCTGCTTCTTGAAGGTCACAATCCCTGACATCTACTTCTTAAAGGTCACAGTCCCTGACATCTACTTCTTGAAGACCACAGTCCTTGACATCTACTTCTTGAAGGCCACAGTTCCTGACATCTACTTTTTGAAGGTCACAGTCCCTGACATCTACTTCTTGAAGGTCACAGTTCCTGACATCTACTTCTTGAAGACTTCAGTTCCTGACATCTACTTCTTGAAGGTCACAGTTCATGACATCTACTTCTTGAAGGTCACAGCCCCTGACATCTACTTCTTGAAGACCTCAGTTCCTGACATCTACTTCTTGAAGGTCACAGTCCCTGACATCTACTTCTTGAAGACCTCAGTTCCTGACATCTACTTCTTGAAGGTCACAGTCCCTGACATCTACTTCTTGAAGGCCACAGTTCCTGACATCTACTTTTTGAAGGTCACAGTCCATGACATCTACTTCTTGAAGGCCACAGTTCCTGACATCTACTTCTTGAAGGTCACAGTCCCTGACATCTACTTCTTGAAGGTCACAGTCCCTGACATCTACTTCCTGAATTTCAGAGTCCCTGACATCTACTTCTTGAAGACCTCAGTTCCTGACATCTACTTCTTGAAGGGCACAGTCCCTGACATCTACTTCTTGAAGACTTCAGTTCCTGACATCTACTTCTTGAAGGTCACAGTCCCTGACATCTACTTCTTGAAGACCTCAGTTCCTGACATCTACTTCTTGAAGGTCACAGTCCCTGACATCTACTTCTTGAAGACCTCAGTTCCTGACATCTACTTCTTGAAAGTCACAGTCCCTGACATCTACTTCTTTTAGGTCACAGTCCCTGACATCTACTTCCTGAAGGTCAGAGTCCCTGACATCTACTTCTTGAAGACCTCAGTTCCTGACATCTACTTCTTGAAGGTCACAGTCCCTGACATCTACTTATTGAAGACCACAGTTGTTAACATCTACTTCTTGAAGACTAGAGTTGTTGACATCTACTTCTTGAAGACCTCAGTTGTTGACATCTACTTCTTGAAGACCATAGTTGTTGACATCTACTTCTTGAAGACCTCAGTTGTTGACATCTACTTCTTGAAGACCACAGTCCCTGACATCTACTTCTTGACGACCACAGTTGTTGACATCTACTTCTTGAAGGTCACAGTCCCTGACATCTACTTCTTGAAGACTTCAGTTCCTGACATCTGCTTCTTGAAGGTCACAATCCCTGACATCTACTTCTTAAAGGTCACAGTCCCTGACATCTACTTCTTGAAGACCACAGTTCCTGACATCTACTTCTTAAAGGTCACAGTCCCTGACATCTACATCTTGAAGGTCACAGTCCCTGACATCTACTTCTTGAAGACCACGGTCCCTGACATCTACTTCTTGAAGGTCACAGTCCCTGACATCTAATTCTTGAAGACTTCAGTTCCTGACATCTACTTCTTGAAGGTCACAATCCTTGACATCTACTTCTTGAAGGTCATAGTCCCTGACGTCTACTTCTTGAAGACTTCAGTTCCTGACATCTACTTCTTGAAGGTCACAGTCCCTGACATCTACTTCTTGAAGGTCACAGTCCCTGACATCTACTTCTTGAAGGTCACAGTCCCTGACATCTACTTGCTGAAGACCTCAGTTCCTGACATCTACTTCTTGAAGGTCACAGTCCCTGACATCTATTTCTTGAAGGTCACAATCCCTGACATCTACTTCCTGAAGGTCACAGTCCCTGACATCTACTTCTTGAAGACCTCAGTTCCTGACATCTACTTCTTGAAGGTCACAATCCCTGACATCTACTTCCTGAAGGTCACAGTCCCTGACATCTTCTTCTTGAAGACTTCAGTTCCTGACATCTACTTCTTGAAGGTCACAGTCCCTGACATCTACTTCTTGAAGACCTCAGTTTCGGACATCTACTTCCTGAAGGTCACAGTCCCTGACATCTACTTCTTGAAGGTCACAGCCCCTGACATCTACTTCTTGAAGACCTCAGTTTCGGACATCTACTTCCTGAAGGTCACAGTCCCTGACATCTACTTCTTGAAGGTCACAGCCCCTGACATCTACTTCTTGAAGACCACAGTTCCTGTCATCTTCTTCATGAAGGTCACAGTTCCTGTCATCTACTTCTTGAAGACCACAGTTCCTCTCATCTTCTTCATGAAGGTCACAGTTCCTGACATGTACTGCTTGAAGATCATAGTTCCTGTCATCTACTTCTTGAAGACCACAGTTCTTGTCATCTTCTTGTTGAAGACGACAGTTCCTGTCATCCTCTTTCTTTGTTTCCGTCAACCAAGAGTCCATTTTAAGACCTCGACACTACTTCATTTTTTTCTGCAAGCCTAAATCTTGTAATTCCAGGCTATATCCTTAACACTGACCATGCTGGAAGAACTTCAAGACACAATCATGTAGTTCCAAGCCGTGTGTCCTGTACACTGACCATACTGATAGAACTCCAAACTACAGTCTTGCAGTTCCAGGCTGTGTCCTGAACACCGACCATGCTGGAAGAACTTCAAGATACAATCATGTAGTTCCAAGCCGTGTGTCCTGTACACTGACCATACTGATAGAACTCCAAACTACAGTCTTGCAGTTCCAGGCTGTGTCCTGAACACCGACCATGCTGGAAGAACTTCAAGACACAATCATGTAGTTCCATGCCGTGTGTCCTGTACACTGATCATATTGGAATAACTCCAAGCCATAATCTTGCAGTTCCAGGCTGTGTCCTGTAAACTGCCAATGCTGGAAGAACTTTAGCACTCCTCTACTGTGCACCTAAGAATTTATAGATCCTAAAGATTTCTCCTGCAGATACTTCTCCAAGCAAGAGTCGTACAGACCTGGAGACTCTCCGTGCTGTAAGGTCTCCTGCAGACCACAGTCTTGCATCTCCTGGCTGTTATACCTGGAGACCAGCCTTCCTGGAGCGCCTCCTCCAGGCCACAATCATGTAGACCAGGTCACAGCTCTTCTTCTTGCAAGGCTTCAGCAGTCTTCAGGGTCCCCATGCTTCATGCAACTACCAGAGAAAGCAAGACAAAAACTATCATCAACATGACTATCCTGGCTGTCTAAAAGTCAAACTTCCAGTTAATAGCTGTCAGAAACAGCCTTCAAGCTCTCAGAAACAGAACTCAAGTTGTCAGAAACAGAACTCAAGCTGACAGAAGCTGCCTTCAAACTGTCAGAAACAGCCTTCAAGCTGTCAGTAACAGAAAACATCAACAGAAGAAGCTTTTATTTGCCTCTTGTTGAAAACTGTTACAGGGGGCTGAGGACACGAGCAACCGGGGCATTAATCAATTTATCGATTTTCAAGAAGGATTTATAGTCATGCCGTTGTTAAATTAATATTGTATTAAATTCAGGGAAGTTATTGTTAGTGGGTCGTGGCACAAGTGGTACTAGAACCACTGTAGGTGGGCACCAGTTGTACTAGAATCACGGTAGGTAGCACCAGTGATACGAGAGACACTGTATGTGGGTGCTAGTGGTACTAGACCCACTTTAGGTGGCACCAGTGGTACTAGAACCACGGTAGGTAGCAC